GTGAGAAAAAGCAGGAGAAAAAAAAAAAAATTTTGAGTTTTTCGTTCGTGTTGTCCTAGCCTCTGCCCAGCTCGGTGCTCACCCGCCCTGTTTGTACCCACCCAGATGGGAATTTGGGCAGAGAATTTAGCATTTTGGGGTTCTTTTGCCTCCATCTGGGAGAAATCCCAAAGTGGGCATTGTTTCTGTCCACATGGAGTTTGCAGGAGTTAAAATGAGAGGAGAAATCCCAAAGTGGGCATTGTTTCTGTCCACATGGAGTTTGCAGGAGTTAAAATGAGAGGAGAAATCCCAAAGTGGGCAATGCTCCTGTCCACGTAAAATATGCAGGAGTTAAAATGAGGGGAGAAATCCCAAAGTGGGCATTGCTTCTGTCCACGCGGAGTTTGCAGGAGTTAAAATGAGAGGAGAAATCCCAAAGTGGGCAATGCTCCTGTCCATGTGAAATATGCAGGAGTTGAAATGAGGGGAGAAATCCCAAAGTGGGCATTGCTTCTGTCCACGCGGAGTTTGCAGGAGTTAAAATGAGGATTTTGTGCTGTTTGTGCTCCTGGCTCTCCCCATGCCATGGCTTGTGCATAAAACAAGGAGCAGCGACTTCAGGAGGAGATCAGGCTTGGAATCATTTGGGATGTGCACGCTGTGGACGTGGCCTATTAGGATAATGATAATTAATTTGCCATTAAGGCTGTCTGACCCTTCCCCTCATCCCACCCTGCACAGGCACAAAGGGCCAGGGGTGCCAGGGCCAATTTGGGTTTTGCCAGGCTGAGCTTCCAACCCCAAATAAAGTTCTGCATGAGAAATAACAATAAAAGCAACCCCAAGCACGGCAGATTTTTAAAAAGAGGGGGAAATCTATTTAATTTCAACGGATCTAACACAACAGCCCAGCAAAGGAGGGGGAGTCAGGCCAGTTTGTTTTTGTGATTCTCAGCCGGAGTTGTTGGATCAGTGATTTAAACCCTCCTGGCTCCAAGCAGAGCAGAGCTGAGACACCAAAAATCACATTCCAGCTTTGCCTTGGGATTTGGTCTGGGAGGGAAAAAGGATTCTCCAAGCTGGGAAACACCAGAGTGTCCCCACAAAATTGGCTCAGAGTCACTTTTAGCTTGGAGAACCTGAGCTGCCACCTCAGGTGGGGTGGAGGTGGTCACTGGTTCCAGAACTGCTGGATCTCAGCGTGCCCAGAAAATCCAGGTGGACAGGCTGGGTGTGAATCCTACCTGGGCAAAGTGGCAGGATTTCCCCTGGGAAAACTGCCAGTGACTTCTCTTTATTATTATTATTATTATTGGTATTGTTGCTATTATTATTATTATTGTTGGTTTTGTTGTTGTTATTAAAATAAATTAAAATTAAAATTAAAATTAAAATTAAAATTAAAATTAAAATTAAAATTAAAAAATAAAATAATTAAAATTATTATTATTAGAATTATTATTTAAATTATTATTATTTAAATTATTATTATTTTAACATCCTATGGAAGAGAATAGCCCCCAAGTTACAACCACTTTTATCAGTCAGTGTCAGGTTAACAGTTATCCATAAAGCGATATATCCTTCAGCCTGAAAGGAAGACACTATTTTGGAAAAAAAAAACCAAAAAACCACCAATATTCAGAGTGTGCAGCCTGAGCCAGTGGTTTTATTTGTGCTCATATTTTTCACTGCCTTTCTTTTACACCTCAAGGACACATTTATGATCTCCTCATGGTATTTCACTTCTGAGGTGATGGTGATGCCTTGAGAAAAAACAGATTTCACATTAATTTGGCCCCCAAAGCCATTAGAGTGCTTGTGGAGCAGGGAAGTGGGAACGCAGCTCTTGGATACTTGGTTGAATTTATCAGGAATTGGCCATTTTTGTGCTTTATTTCTGCAGTACCAATGCCCACAGAGGCTTTGTGTTGGGGAAGCACAAGTTTTCCTTAGAACTAAAGGCACAGGGAAGCATTCCCTGCCCTCCTGGAAGTGGCATCCCTGAAGGATTACCTAAAAATCCAGGGAAAAATAAAGCTTTGTGCGTGTTTATGAGTGGGGGTTTTACCCTGCAGAGGAGGAAGCAGCAATGCTGAGGTGATCTGCTGTTAAATGAGGATTATTAGTGATGGGGAATAAGATCCTGCACTCCCAGGGACTGGGCTGGTGGTGTCTCCCCTAGGGCTGAGGGAAATGGGTGTGAGAGAAGCCCAAAATCATCTGCAGAGTTGGTAGGAAAAATAATCATCAACCCTCCAATGCCACAAGATGCTTTAACCCCCAGAAAATGCAGCTTTGTGGTTGAATACTTTTAATTTTTTTTTTTTTTTTTGAGAGCACTCTGGCTCTTTGAGCACTTTTAAAGCAGCAATGCAGCACCTGTAAAATAGAAATTACCCCAATTTCCACGAGGGAAATGATTTATGACAGGAGGAGATCCCCACACCTCTGCACAGCTCTCCAGCAATAGTCTGGATCAGCTCAGGAGCAGCAGGAAGGAATTTCAGGGATCTAAACTGAATTCCCAGTGAGGACAAAGCTACTAGAGCCCTCTGTCTTTACATGGAAAGGGAATTTCTCTGTAGTTTGTGACAGTTTTGGCTTTTTTTGGCTCATTTGTGAGGAAAAAGCAAGCACCCAACAAACAAAGACAGTCAAGATTGGGTTGAGGGAAGGAAGATTTTCCCCAACCTGCACGCTGGCACCAAGGCTTTGCTTAAATTTGAATTTACCACTGTGCATTTCATCCAGCCTCCCTCGTCCATCACGTTCACAGGATGTGAGAACCCTTTCCCATCCTCTTCCCTCAGGAAAAGAACAGGAATCCTCCTGCCCACCCTGGCCAGCTCCTCACCCTCTGCTGGGTCCCTTCCTGCCGAGCTCATCATCACCCTGCCTCTTATTTGTGCTTTGGAATATTCCTGCCTCTGCCCAATACCTGTACTTTTATCCTTGCTGGATTTCAGCCAGTTGTTTCAGATGATTTCTCAATTTATCCAGATTATTTTGAAGGCTAATTCTGACCTTACCATGCTGGCAGGGCTCTCCCAGCTCTGTGCTGTCCACAAATTTAATAAACATCCTCCATGCCAAGGTCAGCGTGGAAAACATGGAATAGAAACAGAAGCACAAAACCCTGCTTAAGTTTGACATCCACCACACCAAAATTTTCCTCAAATTATGCTGGCTTCAGCATGGAGGGAATGTAATTTCTGCCTGGAAAAACCCCAAGCTTGCAGCTCCAGCTCTGCTTTGTTGCTCAGATCCGTGTCTCACCTTAAAATTAAAACAAAAAAGACCTCCCCCAAAAAGACGGAAGCAACTTGGCGATTTTTTAAAAAGCACATTTCCACTCCCAAGAAATGGGGAAAAAAAATACTGGAGATGACATTTCCATTGATGAGGATCTCCAAATCCATGCCAACTCTCCCTGGATCATTTCCCTCCCTCCAGGACGAGGTAGAGCAGCCATTTTAATGCTGCACTGTTTTAAACCACGCGAGTTGTGGGGTTTGGAATATTCTGGGGAGCCACAAACTTCTCCAGCTGTAATCAGTCGCTTCCTAACTCGAAGCTGCCTCAAATTATAAATTGCTTTCCCTCACCGATGCAAAATGTGGCAGCATAATGTGGTGATTGATGCTATAGAGGAAACCCTGGTACAGTTTGCACGCTCTCAAATATAATCCTGGTGCAGGTGGGGGACTGAAGCATGGGGTAAATGCAGCTGATTAGATATTTTCTCTCATTCAGGAGCCTTTTCTGCCAGCACTATATGAGTGAATGCATATTGCATGAGGGGCCTGTTCCAAAGTCCATTGAAATGGAGTGAAAGGCTCCCGTTTTTCCCTCGGCGTGCTTTGGAGCGGGGCAGAAACACTGTCAGGCACACACAACAGAGATGTTGCCTCGCAGTTTGAGGGGGACCGGCTCTCCTAATGGCAAAAACAAATGTTTTCCCCGTGATGTGTGGAGCCCTTAACGACAGCAATTCCTCGGAGAGGCCCGGGATTTGCAAATATTGAATGTATTTCCATTTTGTGGGAATTGGAGGGTGGAAAATTAAAGGAAGTGGCCAGGTCCTTAGAGAAGAGCTGGAGTCTTGACCTCTGCTGTAGGCTGGACATGCTGGGATGCTTATCCTGGCAGCAGTGCAGTGGGGATGGGGCTGGGATCATTCTCCTTGCCTGCAGTGCCCTTCCTGCTCGGGAAACGCCCTTTCCTTGCACATCCAGCCAGGTTGTTGCTAGTCCAGGTAGGGAAGAGCTTGTGCCACACCAAAAGGCAGCATGAACTAGGAAAAGAGCGGGGAAAATACACTGCTGGTGGTTTTGGGGTCTTTTCTGGGGACGGTCCCAGCAGGACCCCCATCCTTTCCTCCTTGCACCCTCAGCTGGTCCAAGAGCAGGGCCCAGGAATTCCTCTGGGAGCTCAGCTGGGAGGCGTGAGGGCAAAGAATTGCCACGCCGGGTTGATTTTCCTCTGCATTTCCCAACCCACGGGTACTGATTTTTCTGTTTTCCGCAGAAAAACCGCTTTTCCTCGCTTGCATTTTTTTTTTGCGCTGTCGGCGCTGGGGAAGAGCAGCTCTGCCTGCAGCAGCAGAGGCTGCAGCGAGGCACAAAAGGCAGAGGGAATTTAATCGCTTTTTGCGGGGATCTGAAGCCTGCAGGTGGGACAGACACAGGGCACTGCTGCCCAGGTAGGAGGAGGATCCTCACCCGCATCCCTGCGAGCATCTCGGCGTTTTTTGGGGAGGCTCCAGGGGCTGGGGAGGGCTCGGAGCCAGCTCCGTGTGCCCTGCCGGCTTTAGCTGCGTTTGTGCTGCAGGTTGGGGAAATTCTTCCTTCCCTCAACCTAACCTTGACTGTCTTTGCTTGCTGGGTGCTTGTTTATTCCTCACAAATGAGCCAAAAAAAAAAAAAAAAGCCAAAACTGTCACAAACTACAGAGAAATTCCCTTTCCATGTCAAGACAGGGGGCTCCAGTAGCTTTATCCTCACTGGGAATTCAGTTTAGATCCCTGAAATTCCTTCCTGCATTGTGCCTCCCCTGCGCCGTTTCTCCTTCTCGTGCCCCTTTTTTATTTTATTCCCTCCCTCCTCTCGCCTTTTATAGTCACGGCTTCGAGGGGCGACCTCCTCTGCCAGCGCCCAGGAGCCCAAAAACCCAAAAAGTGGCTCCGGTGCTTCATCCCGAACCTGGGAAAGGAATAAATAACGGGATAAAGATAAATAAAGTGCAGCCAACCCCTTGCAGCCCTCACCGCTGAGCAGCAAACGGAACTTTGTTCCCTCCCGGAAGGGTTTGGTTGCTTTTTTGATTTTTTTTCTCTTTTTCCCCCCCCCTCATTTGAGGGTTTCTAGCGGTGCTCGAGACCTCCAAGAGGTCTGGGCGCGGATTGCAGTGACTTCCAACCCTGCTCCAGCTCTTTGTGCCAGTTATCTGCGGCTTTCCTTCTTTTCCTTCTCCCTCTTTCTTTAAAAAGCCATAAAACAGCGAGGACTATTCAGTGATTAAGATTATTTGGGTTCACTTCAGTCCTGGCACGGTGCTAATAAAATAATAATTAAAGAAAAAAAAAAAACCCTAACCCAGCGTTAAAGGGTTTGTTCTCTCATTTGAGGAGGAAAACCGTCTGACTATGGGAATGAACAATTAACAGCATTTAAATGAGCTGAACTTGGTCCTTTTCTCCCATTGTCTTTGTGCCTTTTGAATCATCTGGAATTGGATTTTCTCCGCTGTCTATTTTCCGGTGCACTAAAATGTTTTACATAAATCCCAGGGAGCAGCCCCGAGCCGTAACCCCCTCGTCCCCACCGTCCACAGAGCAAAAAGCACGAAAATGTTGTGTTCAGTCACCTGGAGCTGTTGCACGATTACAACCTTTGCAGATTATGATTTTATTATCATTCCCTGCCATTTTTATTATTATTTTTTATTTTTTTCCTTAAAGGAAATACAGCAGAGGGATGGGGAGGGCGTTCTCTCCCTGGTTCCGTATCCGTAGGCATTGCTGCCTTCATTAATTAAAAATGATAGCGAGGAGGAGAGCGAGCAGAGGGGTTTGATCTTTACATGGGAAAGGCAGCGTGCAACCCCTCCTAAAACCTTTTTGGCGACGGATTTCAGCTCTTCCCTCGTGCTGCAACCTCAGCGGGCTGCATCCGTGTATTAAATATATATATATTTAATTTTATTGTTTTCTGGGGTATATTCAATATGTAAAGATCTTGAGCATGTAAGGGTATTGAATCTATAAATATATTCAATATATATGCATATTGATAGGTATATCGAATGCATAAATATATTCAATATGCATGTGTATTGATTCTATACATGTATTAAATATATAAGTATACTCAGCATACAATTATATTGAATATGTCAGTATATTCAGTGTTTAAGTATATTCTCTGTATAAGTATATACAATGTAACCTTAATATATAAGTAAATGGAATATATAAGTATATTGAATATATAAATATATATGTATATTGAATATATAAGTATATTCAATATATGAGTATATTCAATATATGAACATATTAAATGTTTATGTATACTCAATATATAAGTATACTGAATATATAAATATATTCAATGTATAAATATATTCAATGTATAAGTATATTGAATGTATAAGTATATTGAACATATAAGTATATTCAATGATTGTGTATACTCAATATATAAGTATATTGATAAGTATATTGAAAGTGTAAGTGATATAAGTATATTGAATATATAAGTGTATTAAATACAGAGCTATATTGAATACAGAAATGCATCGAATATCCGAGATTATTCATTTCCCAGGACGGGATGTGACACGGAAACAGCTCCTGGCGCTGGGAGCGCTCGCCGGTGATGCTGGGGCGGCTTTAGCGCACCGGGGCAGCCCCGGGGGAGGTCGGGAGGGGTCGGGGCCGGTCGGTTCAGTGCCCGGTTCGGTGCCCAGTTCTGTTCCCGGTTCCGTGCCGGTTCCGTGCCGGTTCCGTACCGGTTCCGTTCCCGGTTCCGTGCCCGGTTCCGGTCGGTTCCGTTCCCGGTTCAGTGCCGGTTCCGTGCCCGGTTCCGGTCGGTTCCGTTCCCGGTTCCGTGCCGGTTCCGTACCGGTTCCGTTCCCGGTTCCGTTCCCGGTTCCGTGCCCGGTTCCGTGCCGGTTCCGTTCCCGGTTCCGTTCCCGGTTCCGTTCCCGGTTCCGTTCCCGGTTCCGTTCCCGGTCCCGCCGGCGGCCGCCGCTGTTGCCAGGGCGTGGCGGGGAAGGCGCGCGCTGATTGGCTGAGGCCGCGTCCCCTCGGCCAATGGGAGGGCAAGGAGGAGGGAGGGGCGGGGCGCGCCCCGGGGCCGGCCGCATCCCGGGATGTGCCGGGATGTGCCGGGATCGTGGGACATCCCGGGAATGGGGAGATGTGCCGGGAATCGTGGGATGTCCTGGGAATCGAGAGATGTCCCGGGAATGGAGAGATGTGCCGGGAATCGTGGGATGTCCCAGGAATGGAGAGATGTGCCGGGAATCGTGGGATGTGCCGGGAATGGGGAGATGTGCCGGGAATCGTGGGATGTCCCGGGAATGGAGAGATGTGCCGGGAATCGTGGGATGTGCCGGGAATGGGGAGATGTGCCGGGAATCGTGGGATGTCCTGGGAATCGTGAGCTATCGCAGGACCTTGACATTTCCCTGGGAATGCTGGGGTATCCCTGGTCCTGCCCCATCCTGTTCTGTGGCTCTGTGAGTCTGGGATCGCTTCCATGAAATCCATTAAGTTTTCCCCACGTGAAGGGAAGAAAGCTCCGCTGTGCTGCAGCCATTCCATGATGGACAATGATGTTCAAGGTCCTTCACAACCCCAACCATTCCATGTTTAAAGGTTGTTTATAACCCAAATTATTCCATGTTTAAGGTCCTTTATGACTCAAATAATTCCATGTTTAAAGGTCATTTATAACCCTAACTATTCCATGTTTCAGGTCCATTCCAACCCAAACCATTCCATGTTAAAAGGTCTTTTATGGCCCAAACCATTCTATATTTAAGGTCCTTTCTGACCAAACCATTCCATATTTCAAGTCCTTTATGACCCAAACCATTCCATGTTTAAGGTCCTTTCCAACTGAAATCATTCCATGTTTAAGGTCCTTCACAATTCATACCATTCCATGTTTCAAGTCCTTTATGACCCAAAACCAGTCCATATTTAAAGGTCGTTTATAGCCCAAACTATTCCATATTTAAGGTCCTTTCTGACCCAAACCATTCCATGTTTAAAGTCCTTTATGACCAAACCATTCCATGTTTAAGGTCCTTTCCAACTGAAATCATTCCATGTTTGAGGTCCTTCACGATTCAAACCATTCCATGTTTAAAGTCCTTTATGACCCAAACCATTCTATGTTTAAGATCCTTTCCAACCCAAATCATTCCATGTTTAAGGTCCTTTATGACCCAAATCATTCCATGTTTAAGGTCCTTTCTGACCAAAAAATTCCATGTTTAAGGTACTTTATGACCTAAACCATTCCATGTTTAAGGTCCTTTATGACTCAAATCATTCCATGTTTAAGGTCCTTCTTGACCCAAATCATTCCACGTTTAAAGTCCTTTCTGACCCAAACCTTCCATTCAGGAGGGAGGAGATGGGAGAGCAGCTGGTGGGAAAGCTCAGTTCCCAGCCCTGGAGGAAATCCAGCAGGATCACGCTCTGTGCAGAGGTCTTTGAGCAGAAAGGATCAATTTTTAAGAGTGCAGCTGGGCAGGACCCCGTTGTTCCAGGCCCTGGCTGTGAAGCTGTCCCTGTTTGGGCTGTCAGCAGTGACACAGGAGCAGCCAAGCCAGCAGATTTTCCTGCCTCTCCTCCTGAACCCGCTGCTGTCACTGTGCTGCCGCAGCAGAGATGGTTTTCTTACATAACCAACCAGCCATCCCCCTCCCCACGGGAGCAAAGCACCTCCAGGGTCATCAAATCCAGCTCTCTGCTCGCCAGCAGCCACAGCCCATCTCCGAGAGGGATGGAGCTCCATCTCCATCCTCCTGGGGCTGCTGCCTCTTCTTGGCATCTCCTCCTACTCATTGCTTTTCCTCAAGAGTCATCCCAGCCTGTTCCTGCTCAGCCAGGAGCCCCAGCCCACCGTGGGGACACGGGGATTGCCTCCCGTGCCTCTGTGGTGGCTCGTGGACCCCTTCTGTGGCCACCACTGGGCTGCTTTGTCAGAGCTGGGTGTGCCCTGGGGCTCAGAGGTCCTGCTAACAAATGATGGGATTTTGGGGCTCTGAAAGTTGATGGTGGTTCCCGTGAATCCCTGCAGGGTGCAGGGTTAGAGCGGTGGCTCCTGGCTCACCCGGTGAGTCCGGAGCATCTCCTTGGAGCTCCACGTGCTGGAGTCGCCCTCTGAAAAGGCAGCAGGGGCCATGGGGGCCAGCAGCAGCTCCTGTGAGAAGCCTCAGGTGGCTGAGGAGGTGTCGGGGCTGTGGGATGGAAGGGACCTGCCCCAGCCTGCCCAGCACAGCCCCTTCCTCCCCTGGAGGATGGCTCTTAGCTCCACCATCTCCTTCCTACCAGCCCAGAAGCACCAATTCTGACCTCACCAACTCCACTTTTCAGAGCCTTTCCATTCGTGGCCCATGTCCAAAATGTTTTGTATTTTTTTTTTTTTTTTTTAGTTTTTCTCTGTGTAACCAGAGCTCATCCCTAAAGCAGCCAGTTAACCCTTTCAGTTCTCTGTCCTCCCAAAGCAGAGCTGGTTTTGGTGGGTTTATATGGATTTCTCCGGAGGGTGAGGTGTGCTGAGTGTTCTGTTGCTGTTGGGGTGCACATGGATGTGTAGGGACAGCCCAACGCTTGCTCTGGCTGACTCATGGAGCAAAGCCCTCCCCACATCCCATCCATCACCCACAGCCACCTCTGAGAGAGCCCACAGAGCTGCGTGGCTGGGGAAAACTTCAATTTCCAAGTTCCTCATGCTAAAATAAATGTAATTCCACGTAAGAGGCTGTGGGGGTGAGGAGATGGAACACAGACACACAACCTGGGGTCCTTCTGCAGAATGAGGGCAAAAGTCTGGCCGTGTTTATTCTCATGTAAATTCAGAGTAAACCCAGGCGATTTTGTCATCCTGGGCTCTGACGCATTACTGTAAATCCTACTTTCGTAACTCTGCCATTATTTATGAGTGTGACTGCAGTGCTGTGTGAGATCAGGGCAGAGTTATGCCTGCTCACGTGGGTGTTTTAAGGACCACAGCTTGGACGTTTGAGTGGAGTAGAGGAGACAAAGGCAATCGATCATCTTCATTTTACAAATAGGAGCGTAGGATTACATGATCTGCTGGAGAGCTTGCAGGAAGCCGGTGTCTGGTCTGGACAGGAAACCGTTTTCCTGTCCTGAAAAACTTTTCGTAGTAGAGGGAGAAAAAAAAAAAGAAAAAAAAAAGTCCTGTTTGATGTTTGGGGTGAAGGGTTTCGAGGGCAGGAAAATGTGATCAGAAATGGCCCGATGAGGGTTTCAGATTTGAGCAGGGAGCAGAGGAGGGATGTGGCCTTGCAAATATTCACTGCAGGTCAGCAGCTTTCCCCTGGATGGGGGGGTTATGGATCATCCTGTCCATCAGTGCAGGCAGATTTTTTATCTGTGATCAATGGCGACCACGCGAGCAGGATGGATTCATGCTCAGGACTTGAGGTTTTGTCTGCTACATCATGCTCAGAGCACGATGGGAACGATAAATAAATAACTAAAAAAGGGTTTTGAGCAGGTCACCACATGGCAGGACAAAGGCAGTTAGAGGAAGGTAACCAGATGGAAGGCTCTAGATGTGCACTGCACAAATGCCCTGTACAACATCACCTATTTAATCACCTTCTGCCTCGGCTGAGCATTCCCATCCCTGCCCTGGCTCTGGCTGGCACTGCCCTTTGTCTTGGAGCTGCTGGGAAGGATTTCCCTCATGGCTCTGCCAGCTTTTCCATCTCCAGGCTGCCAGCCCGTGCTGCCCGCTCCTCACAGACTTGTGGCTCGCTGGGCTGTTGCACGCTGATATCTGTTGCTGCTATTCAAGGACTTCCTCCTCCTGGTTTATTTTGCCATATTATTTTCCTGCCTTGAGCTGGAGGACTGAAACCACAGAGGACAAATGTAAATCCCTGCCTTTCTCCGAGGAGGTCACTTGTGCAGCGTTCACACTGCCTCTCCTTAATCCCACATCCCTGCACAGCTCCTCAGCCCTGTCTGGCTGTTCCATCTCCCACAGCACCTGCTCAAACCACACCAGGTAAATGCAGCGCCTCAGTATCCACCCAGGAGGGGAAAAATGACTTTCTAATCTGTTTCCTTCTCAAATCAGCCTCCTCCTCCCATGCAGAGCCCAGCAAGGAGGAGGTCTCAGCCCGGGTATTGCAGAGGAACAGCCTTTGTTGTGTGTGGGTGCTGCAAAATACTTGGGAGAGCTGAGCAGGTATCATTCAGAGGGGAAAAATAAAAAAAATAAAAATAAAGGCAATTAATTACACTAAATAAACATATATTAGGGTTCAAAATATGCACAGCCAAAATGAAAGTCACATTCTGGTTCATTAAATCTGAAAAGACTTCACACGTTTTAAACCTGTAATCATATTCACAGACGCAGCACCCCCTCCCCAACCTGCCCCCCACCCCCTCCCGCAGATTTCACACCTTGGGAATGGCTATTGTAAAAAAAAATAAAATAAAACAACAACAAAAAAAAAGGAGCAGGGGAAGGTTTTCTGCTTCAGGGCAGGAAAATCAGTGTTTGCTGTGGCATCTCTGTCGTGGCAGCACCGGGCTGGGTTCAGGTGCTCGAGGAGGAGGAGGAGGAGGAGGAGGAGGAGGAGGAAGCACAAAATCTCAGCTCTGCTCTTCTTCCCCACCCTGCTCCTGCCCGACCCGGGGTCTCTTGCTGAGTTCCCCCCCTGCTTCCAGGCTTCTCCCCCTCCCCTGGAGGCTGGGATGTTACCAGGGAGCTGAGCTGCAGAACATATGGAAACGTCATGCGTGTATATATAGCAGAGGAGCGAAAATGGATGCGCTTGGGTACAATAAACATTAGTGGATCTGCAGGGGGGGCAGAGAATTTCAGCTATTTGGTGGATGTTTCTCGGGGTGGGGGGGGTTCACTGCTCACTGTAGCCAGAAATGCATACATATAATTTATTGGAATTAAGAAGTCTGTGGAAGCTAGGAGTCATTCTTCACATGGAAATTCTGCTTTATTCCGAAGCGGCACAGTCAGAAAGGAGGATGTTGTGACTGCGTGCCAGCAGATATTTGTAAGGAGACATTTTGAAAATCGGAAGGGATCAGGGTGGACGTTTTCAAGATATTGGGGCTTGTTCTGGGA